CAAGTTTTTCTCTTGATTTTGTAGTGGCAATTTGTAAAATTATATCCCTTTTAATGGATGCATCTGCTAGAGTGGTACAATCCTGGTACCATTATAGGTAATTTTTTGCTCTTTATTGGGCTCCTCTATGGGCTCAGTGATTAATTAATCAGCAGCCTCAAAAAAAAAAAAAAAGAGTAGCCCGGTATAACTGCATGGTGCTGCATAGGAAATTGTTGATTGTTTACAGCATTGGATGAAAAGAACTAAACTAATGAATTCACTGCTTGCAGAGACTATAATTTCAAATGCTGACATGAGAACTGAAGGTGCACTAACACCATCCAAGAATTGTCTGAACTGTGAGTATTGGGTGGAAATCAAGAAATATTTCTCTCTCACTGTTTGGGTTGGGGTATAGTAGAGTAAGGATTAAGATGGAATTACCTCATTTAATTTACCTTTACTGGGGGGAAAATGGAGGAAAAGACCAAAAAATAATCCTGTGTAATGGAAAGTCTGCTTGCTATATTTAAATTATGTGCTGCTTAAAGCTAAAAAAGGATTTTTAAGCAGTGAATTTACTTATTGCTTCACGTGTTTGGAAGAAATGTACTGATATCATAAAAATACACATAAGAATGTATAATTCCAGATTGTTATTAGTGGATATACCTAATTTACTCTAAGATATAAATGTTTTGTTGCATAGTATATAAACAATATTCAGAAAACATTTGTATTTTGTAATAATAGCACCATGTAGTCGTTATAAAATACTTTTTAAAGTGGATTATCTAATCTTTTTACTATTATTCTCTCTATGTTTACAAATAAGGAAACTGATGGATCAAGCTGCAAGTCAATTATGAATGTAACCAGGATTCTAGCCTAATGCCTTGCCAGGTAGATGACATTGTCTCCCATTAAAGGTACAGATGGTTTGGTTCGTGGTAATGGTGTTGATTGATACCTCTAATCTACACCATAGTTTCTAGTTCATTTCCATGAAATCATCTTTCTTTCTCTCTCTCCCTGTCCTAGTTGATTACCGTCTAGTCAAAGGAGATTGAACTTGGTATATTCAGAAGTGAATGCTTGTGCTTCCAGAGCCTGAGCTAAAAAAGCTGAAGTAGACAACTGTGAAATACTTGCATCATCTGTGGGTCAGGCATAGGGAAGCACAGTGGCCAGTAGTGAAAATTAAATCATTTTTCTCTAGGGGACAACTTCCAAGTATCTTATGTCACAGTCAGCTGATGATGTAAATATGTTGGGAAATTGAAGCACAGACATAACTGATGTGATTTAGATTTACCACAATTTTATTAATATATAGAAAAAACAAAGAAACTTGGCAATAAACTGATCCATTTCGGGGGAATGCCCTCCCATTGGGTTATAAATAACAAGAGGTAGGCATTTTAGCCATATCTCTTCCAAAAGGACCACCATATGTGGTAAGTGGCAGAACCCCTGAATAGCACTTCCCTCACTTAAGTGAGGAGATATTCTAGCTACAGTACTCAGGTATATATTCCTTCTCATTTACACCCCAATCTTTGGGTATTTGTAGCTGGTATTTAAGTATGCATTCTATGCATTTCTACATGGGATTCTTCCTGTTACAATTCTGACAATAAGACAGTATGCAAGATTCTGTTTCCCACCTCTTTACAAGGTTAAATTTCTCAAGGGTAGGAAAAACTGAAAGGAAAATTCACATAATGGAAAAATGCGAAAGCACTTTCCTCACCCTAAATAATTTTCTATAGTGTTTTGGCTGTTAGCTGATAATTTAAGTGAAACAACAAAAATAGTGCTAGCAGTAGATAGAGAGAATTTGTGCCATTGAAAAATGACTCTAGGACCCAGGAAGTCTCTCAGCGTGTGCGTGCGCGCACACACACACACACACACACACACACACACATACATACACACAAAGGAATAGACATAACACTTCTAGGGCACTCATGTAACCAAATTAGGTTCCTTTGGGAGTGGAAAGAGATCCCTCAACCTTTCAGTCCCCCTATGCATCAAAAACAATGGGAAAGAAGGATGAACGAACCAAGCCAGCTTCACTACAAATGTAGTAAGGACTGGTTTCTAACCTGCATCCCTTGGTGGGATGAGCTCTTAATTTGTGCCTTGTTTTTGCAAGTCATTGGTTGGTGTGGGGAGGGGGGAATGAAAGGGCAATAACTTCATCATAGTTAAGGTGTTTTCTGAATTTTTAATCACCTCCTTTCTAGAAATTGAGACAATTGGTCTTTTCCTTTCTATTCATAGATTCATAGATTCATAGATTCATAGATTAA